TACACATTCGGTAGGACTCCTTGGGCGAGTGATCAGCTCGTCGCAAGGTCTCTGCCTGTACACAAAGACAGAAAAACGCACACAAACATCCACGCCCTGGGTGGGATTCGAACCCACGATCCCGACTTCCGAGCGAGCGAAGACAGTACATGCCTCAGACCGCTCGGCTACCGTGACCGGCAGTTGGCATACTTACTGTGAATAAAGACATACAAGAATACATGGACCAAGGCCAGAAGGTTCCTTCTTGTTTAACGACGCTATCAGTATTCTGAACGTACAGTATAACGTCGACTGATTAGTACCGAACTGGACAAGACTGGGAAGGAGTAGGTCGCGGCCAAATAGGGTTATTATGCTGAATTTTCCTAGAGGGACTGAATAAAACTAGGAAACCTCAGTCAGGATACTTCTACAAGGAGAGAGAGGAAGCAAATCGTACGGCATGTAAATCTATACGGCGTCATGATGATGATGATGATGCTGATGATGATCTGCAAGGATTGAGCTCGACAGCCCGTTCCGTCCCCAATGCAGCTTGTTCTTGTCCTTCCTGGATAAAGTCTTCTATTGGCTGATAATATAAAAGTTGCTTCGGAGATGTTTTTTATGATTCCAGCCTCTGCGGGTGTTCAAGCCGTTTTGTTTTTGGTGTATTTGTTTGTCCAGTTTCTTGCGTTTTCTTTGTGTCTTTATTCCGTCGCTCCATTCCTTGTCCCATACAGCATAGCTACAGACTGCAGAAACAGCACCTTTGCTGCTTTCAGTTGTCTTTCATCTGGTTTTTAAGAGTTAATAGTTCACTGCCGTACATAAAAACATGGCATTGCCACGGTTTTATAGAATTTTTACTGCGTATCTTTCTTTGTATTGTGTCTCAGTTTCATTTTTATTGTCACACACATATATCGTGGCATTTTTTGTTTATATCTTCCTCAGCATTTAGCCAAACGCCGACAAGCGACGGTCGCTGGGTCGGTATAATTCGCTTGCGGACTAAAGCCACGCACTTTGTCTTTGAGCATTTAGCACTGACATTTCGGACCTCAGTTATCTAAATTTGAAACTTGTTCCATTATTTCCTCGTTTATTATTATTTTTAACCTTACTCCATATTTCCCTTTAAAGACCATGGTTTTGATTTTTAGTAGTGTAAATCTTTAATTTGCAAGTATTCGCTACTTCTTCCAATAAATGGATTGTCTTTTAAAGTTCGCATTCTGTGTCAGAAGTTATAACTTGATGCACCATACTGCGTTGCTCTTAAGTGACATATATTATAAGTAAAAGAAGCCAGTTTAACTCCATGACTTACAGATACTCTAAGAAGGCGGTGTTTTGATCGTCGTGTTAGTTCTTCTTGTAGAGAACTGAAAGTCACAATAGCCGACTTTTCGTCGAATTTTTTAAAATTCTGCCAAATTGTTTTCATGAATGACAAAATGAAGAAGCAGTACACCGCCTCTGTGGTCTAGCGGTCAGAGTTCGATTCCCGGCGTTACTAATTATTTTTCCTTAGAAGTAGTGGGTCTGGAACGGGGTTCACCCAGCCTCGAGGATAATTGAGGAGCTATTTCAAGGAAGTAGCGGCTCCGGTCTAGAAAACCGAGATTAACGGCCGTGGGTATCCGTTGCACTGACCACGTGACACCTTCTGTCCGCAAGTTTGGCACTAACTTCGCCGACAAGCGGCGGTAGCTCGGTCGGTATAGTTTGCTTACGGACTACAGGCCACGGAGATTTTTTTTTGCATTAACGTTACACAAAATATCAAGTTCTGATTGGCCACGTCATATTACAGACGGTTAAACACTGGCTTCTCAACAGGGAGATCCGGATTAAGTCCTGAACGGAGTGGGACTGGAACAAGTTCTTTTACGAGTGTCTTCGGTTTTTCGCTGCGACTCATCCTTCCACTATTGATCCTTACCCATTGTTATTGTACCCCGGGGCGTGCGATAGCCAAATCATGCAGAACATTAGCATACCCTCGATCTTTAAGTTGGGGGCTCCATCTCTGATTGTGCATCTCGCTAACTTTAAACTAAAGAAGTTACGTAATGTATATTGGTTCTTCTTCTTCTTCTTCTTCTTCTCGTGGTCCCTCAAGCAACAGACATACCGGCCGTTTGTGTCTCCTAATTAATCTGCTTGTATTTAATTATCGTTGTTAGATTCTTATAACGTACTTAAAAGCAACAGGAGTGTTTAAATTTAACTTTTGAATTATTAAGGATATATGAAAATGTATGTGTCTGAAGTAAATAAAGACATTACTAAATAAATTTATAATTTTGGTCTGATTCGAAAAATATGAATTCATCATTTTCCTCTATCTTAGAAAAGTGGTGGACAAAAACGCCGGATTTAGTTCCAGAGAGAACACCCAAAGTATACAATCCACATAACAGATTCCATTCTGAAGATAGAGGCAGCCTATTCTGAGAAACAATGATAACCACTTATAAGACTACACTGTCTCGAAACCAGGCCACATTCTTCACCTTAAAGAACATCTCATGTCTCATTTCTCCTAGATTTTGCTTAGATTTGAGACATTCTTCTTTATGTGACGAAATTATTTGTTTCACAGAATAATATGTTGCCACTTTTATTGTGGACTCTTGCCCCATTATATCATCTGAACCAACATCTATGCAAATATGACCGTTACATTAGATCGTCGAAGACGTAGTAGCGCATGGAAAACGAGAGTTCATAACAGAGACGATGGTTTTAGAAAATAAATTCTCCTAGTTTCGTGTTTCCTCTATAGATGGCAGAAATAGCCACAGCAATTGTCCTGTCATCTTCCGATGAAATTCTGAACCATCTACATGTTCAGGGGGAATTTGAATCTGTGACACTGTGTAGCCTGAGAGGTTTTCAGGTTTCCTCTATAGATGGCAGAAATAGCTACAGCAATTGTCCTGTCATCTTCCGATGAAATTCTGAACCATCTACATGTTCAGGGGGAATTTGAATCTGTGACACTGTGTAGCCCGAGAGGTCGTGAATCTTTTGTTTTCATTAAAATATTTTGGTGTGAATGTATACTAGGTTATTTAAGAGCGCTTTGTCTACTGATCGACTTACATGATGCTTAATGATAGAAAGATGGTGAATTTGAAAGGACAGGAATTGAATACTACGAAGCCACTATTCCAGCTTTTGTTTGCATGGACTGTCGAAATTGTGGTTGAGATGATTCATATTTAGGAGGTACCGAGTTAAAATCTGAGCCCCTAAAGCGACTATGCTGACTGAGAAGGTTCCTAGTTTTCCATGGTTCAGCTAGTTAACGTCTTTGATGATACCATATTCTTTCTCATTATTAACTTATCATTGTATTATTCAACACTATAAATTCTTGAGCCACTGCTGACTTCGTTAAATAAAGAGTAAATAATAATAAAATAAATGTGGTTGGACTGAGAAAAATCATAAATCATCTCAGGATACCTTGTCTCTGGACTCAAATTCATTCATGGTACCTATTTATTTTACACATACTGAGTACAGGAAGGAAACAGGATATATGGCAACAGCAAACACTGAAAATAAGTGCTCCAAAACAGGATAAACGCTACAACATTAAGAATCATTTGTTACAACTCACCTAACATATTTAATGTCATATTTTATAACATTTCGGGTTTTCAACCAAATTCTGCCTACATATCTCACTTCCCTTTTCATGCTACATGATCTATCCATATCATATACCTTGATTTTATCACCCTGATATTTGAAGACTGAAAACTACGAAGTTCCTCACTATGTAATTTCTTCCATCCTTCTTACATTCAGTAGTCCCTTGAAATATTATAGTGTGACGTGTTGCGTTATGGAGAACAGCCTCCAGATTATTGTGTAAGGTTGTAAATTGTGTAAACCCGTAACAGTGTTGTAATTAATTGTAGCCGAGACTTGTAGGTTGTTAAATAAACCAATTAACAATCCGAACGGCGTTTTCAGTGGCGAAACACGTTATAATATTATATATGAAGCCCGATTGTTTAGAGGAAAATGAAGCGGCCTCCGTAGTCTAGAGGTAACGTTCCCACCTCATGACTCGTGGTACGCGGGTTCAAATTTTTAAGGGCGGAAAAATTCATGGAACAAGTTTTCCGGGAGGGACTTTAAGCTGTGTGTCCCGTGTCGTAACTTTACGGCACGTAAAAGAACCTCATATCCCCAAAGGGGATCACTGAGCCAAATTCCAGGACGTTTCCCGCCCAGCAATAGCCTCTAAGGCCTCCGATAGATGGGGGAAGCATTATAGACACCGCTAAGCAAGTGGCCGAACTCGCTTGCTCGGCGGGACTGATGGTACGCACCATTTATCGGTAGGGTAAAGAGACTGGTAGAATATCATAAGAGGGAAGCACAATAGATCAAACTGGTCGCGGTGCATGGGGAAACCCACCCTTTCTAAATAAATAACTAACTAACTAACTAACTAACTAACTAGAGGAAAATGAAATTCATTTTGTTCTTGCATTCTTGTGTAGTGTTCTAATTTAATTTTCGTACGAAACTGCAGTCTCGACGGTCGAGACAATCTAGACGACCGAGACTGCCAAATTCGTTTGTCCCGGGACATCGTGAAATTTCAAAGTACTTTCAGAAAACCATATTGGTTGCATTTCGTATTGAGTCACAACTGATGAAGGGTAAATATTTACATTTCCATGTAAATATGAATAATGACTATTTGCCTAATGTAACAGGTAGGAAGGAATCGACAGGTTCTTGATGTTCATATATAATAAATTCATTTCAGTCTTGTTCCTATTCTCTTTAATTTTAAATTATTGAACTGTAACCGACCCTCTGCATTACGCGTGCAAAGACTGAACACACTCTAGACCAGGAAGACGCATACTCGTATCAGTATTTTGTGGAATCCGTGGTGTCGAGCATGGTGAGCATGGTACCAAGAGCATGTTCGATGTCCGCGGTATGTACTATCTATGACATTAGAAAGGCTTACGTTGTGTGCTTGCGTAGTAGTCATGTGTTGTGTCATCCGACTTTGGATGAAATTAAGGTTTCAGTGTGTGGTTAGGATTGAAATGTCTTAAGGTGTTTACATCGTTAATAGTGTGGGATGTTTACTCACCTTTGCTAACCAGTGATACTTGCGTTATCATAGTAATGTTTGCTTGAATGTGGGCATTTCCCACAGTAGTTTATAACGGACTTTTAACACGCACTTGACACATGAGTGATGGGTTTAGGGGGAGTACATTTTCATTCTCTACACGAAGTTAACATTTTGAATTTCTCATGTTAGAAGGATATATATTATGTTTGAATAACATTTTATTCCAGAATCTGGAAGATGTGTAAAGAATTTTGTAACATGGCGTATCAACGCCGTAGTAATAATCTGGATAAATTTGATGTTTATAGACCCAGATAATGTGAATACTGCGTATGCCATACGGACATCTGGTGGAACACTGAGTAATGGATAACGTATTGCCTAGAGGCGTGATTAGGTGTCTAGATAAATTTGAATATTTATTGAGAAATTTATGGTAGAAACTCAAACTCACAGATGTATTTATTATTTTCTTACAGTTCAGTTGATTTCTCGTCTGTGATAAACATGGATATTCCAGAATGGTTTAAGTTCCATAAAATGCCTCCACTCCTGGTCTGATATTATATCCATGCTAAGATAGCAGCTTTCTAATTCTTTGTAAATAAGTTCAGTAACATCCACCTTGTCCATGCAAGCTCTTTGAAATAGTGTGACATGTAGTGCTTTATAAGGAACAGTTTAGTTAATATTATTGTATTCTGGGATGTAATGCTGTGTTATCTGGTAGAAGTTCACTGAAATCTTTGTTGAGCAATACGCTGCTCCCATGTTCTCAGTAGAAGAGTTTTCTTAGACCCTGAAGATGGAGGCAGCGCATTCCTCTGAAATAGTAACAGACATCTTTCAGAATACACTAATCTGAAATACTCTACCATGCTATGTAGTGTTACATTCCAGAAGGCAATAATCTTCACATTATCATCACTCTAGAACCTTGTATTTGACAATTCAGTGAAAAGGTGTTGTAACTTTTATTTTTTTTTTATTTTTTAGGCATGGCACATTCTGATGCTAGGAGCTCATCACGAATCCCAATTTTGAGAAGTAGCCTTCCGAGAGCATTCTCACTATCGAGTGGTCGTCAGGGCAATCATCAGCTAATGGCTCATTCATTGAATACTCCTCTAGGTATACACCAACCAAAGTATCACATTTATATTATAGTATTTCAGTTTGATTTTGTTGTTTATAGTTTCTTGAATTGGCACTATGCCATGTGACATTGTTGTGTCCATAATCCATCTGTGATGACATTGCTGATGTCCACCACAAAATAATCTGAACTTCCTTTGAACTCTTGTATCTGATACTGTTCCTGCCATCCACCACATACATGCAGCCTTCTGTTGGATGGGTGATATTTTCAGATTAGTTGACAACTCGGCTCCCTGTCATTTGGTTTGGAATGAGCCTACATCAGTGCATGTTTGGTGCAACACATTGGCATAAACAAAACTTTCACCGTACACTTTTAGCTTAATTAATTTTCACAGTAACAATTTTTCAAATGTCATTCTTCCTGCAGCATTGTGTATTATAATGAATTATTCTGTGTTCGCTTTGCTATTTAACCCTTCAACGCCGTCATATGTACATGCCAGTGGTTTCTGTCACATGTTTCCATCATATGTACATAGCATGCATAGTGGAGCAATAAGTTGCAGCTCATAACCATTGTTTGTCGTGTAAAGTAATTCTTTTTCTCGAATTGTAAAATATTAAAAGCGAGTATATTAGTTGTGTGATGGTTAACCTAATTCCTATATATGTCTGGAACACAACAGGATGGAACAAATGAAGATCGATAGCTCAGTTGATATAGTTATCAGATAAATGACTAGGGCTCAGATTTCATCAGGGACAGGAACTGATTTTCTGTACCACAATGTGAAGGCCAGCTCTGTAACCCGCTAGGCAGCCCATCCAATGAATGCTGAAGGTGAAATGGCTGAAGCATGCAGATGGCTATCTTGATCTAGGATCAGTACATGCTTTCACTCACTTATTTTTCTGCTGTGGTTATTGATGAAGCTTACCAACAGTAGTCCATTACTTACTGAAACTGTACCAGTGAACTTGGTGAGCACTGATTTATATAATATTTCAAGTGATTCTGACCTTGTTGATAGGCAGGTCATGCAGCATATTTCTTTCTGTTTAGGTCCACTGAGTGGGTTTGGTATTGGTCGAGTTCAGTTGGAGCGTCATACTGCTGAAGGGCAGAGAATCTTACAAGACAATCTTCATACAGTGATTGAAGAGCTGCGACCACTGATGGAACATGCAAGAACTGCAGAAAGTCATGGTCTTTCTCTGTCATGGCTTCGGACACCTCAACAACAGATGCAGAGCCAACAGCAGCCACCACCGCTGCCACCTAGAACACAACAGCCGCCACCACTGCCACCTAGATCCCACCAGCAGCTGCAGAATGTTCCCATAACTCAGTCCTCATCTGGTGATAGCTTTGTGATTACAGTCGACACTGAGCAAGCCTCAAACTCTCATCACCATCACCACCACCATCAGCAGCAGCAGAATACCAACATGGCTGGCACATCCAACACTACAACTGCTGAAAATTTCCTTAATAACATCCGAGAAGCTGCAGCTGCACACCATACAGACCAGCACCAACCCAACAACAACAACAATAACAATAATGTGGAAGAAGGTATAAGTTCACTACAGCATGCCTTTCATTTTGTATTTGTTTATTTTATTTATTTACCTATACCAATTTTACCTGTCTACTTATGCGGTAGCGTAGTTGGTCGAGGCACTATGCTACAAGCCAGAAGGTTGCGGGTTCAAGTCCCGATGAGGTCATTGGATATTTACAATTGCACTAATCCTTCCAGCCGCACTATGGCCCTGGGGTCGACTCGGCCTCTAACAGAAATGAGTACCAGGAATATTCTTGGAATATTCTGGGGGTACAGGGTGGCCGGCACGTATGGCTGACAACTTTGCCACCATCTATGAGCTGATTGTCTAGAAAATGTGGGAACCTCAACATCTCATAACCCTATGAGTTTCCATAGTCTGTTACATACCTTTACTTTTTACTTTTACTTTGCTTATATACCTACTTAGATACTTACTTAGTCACTCACACACTTACTTACTTTTTTAACAGCACACTTAGAAGCTGAGGCTGTATCGTGTTCAGTGGTAGGGATGGTAGTAAATTATGAATTGGAAGGGGTGTCAAAATGTGAATGGAAGCAGTTGTGGCCTAATCTGAGATACTGTCCCAGAATTTGGCTAGATGTACTAGCAGAAAGGTCAGGATAATTGGATTCCGAGCCAAGTTCTGAGCTAGGCATTGCATGAGATAGGATTATTCTAAAATAGAAGTAGCATTCTAGCTCTTATGAACTGATTCCACTCTAGATTCGGATGAGTTTGCTAAAAAGAAGTACATGGATTTACTGAGGAGGCCCTTTGAGTGAGTCAGGTTTGTTAGTTTCAGTGTCCTCTTTACCCTTAACACTTGCTTCCTTCAGGCAGATATTGCAGCTGCACCTACTTAGCTTTCAGTACTCCTGCCTGATTTTCCCAAATGCTGTTTCCATTGGCTGGGATTAAACATTTTGCATTGAAGCAGAGCTCTCCTTGCTACCTGCTTTATATTGGTTTCTTGCTTGGCTTATTCTTCATCCCCGAAGATGGAGGCGATATGTTCCTCCAAAATGTTGGCTGGCTTTCAGCAGACTACACGTCATATCCCAGAAGATAGAACTGTTTGTAAGATATGTACCTTCATATTTTTGTTGTCTCCATTGTTCATCATTGGTCACATTCGTGGATTATTCTGCAGTGTCCTGTGATGAAGGATTTGAACGGATTATTTGGGAAGTATAAAATACATCTTGTTCGTAATTTTCCTCTGCTTTCATGTCGTAGGTGCTGCAGAATTGCTGCGTCAGAGTCCAGAAACAAGACAATTCCTTTCCCTACTGCAAAAATATGTTTCTTTCCTGGGTATTCTTCTCACCAAAGCCACCTATGATCATCGTTCGGGTAAGTTTATGTATTCAGTTATAAAGGAGATGCAAGAACAAGATAGAAATTAACTTCATGTATTGATGTACGATAGATCAACAACTGGTCGCGGTGCATGGGGAAACCCACCCCCTCCAATAATAATAATAATATAAATAACGTCATGTATCAGTTTGAATTTAAAAATTATCATACTTGGTTGTTTGTATTTTCTGATTTTGTGAATGGCTGACTAAATTTTGCGGTCACAAAATCTATTTTCAGTATAACTGCCTTGATAGAGCAGAGTACTTGACAAGGTGATAGACGCTCAGTTAGGCAGTAGATTTCCAGCCTTTTTGAGAACTCAAAGATCCATTACCATGTCTACGAGATCCCACCACAGTGCTTTATGCTGAGACCGTGGAATTGAGACCAGATCCTCATACCTTATTCAAGATCTGTTTTAATATTTTCTTCCCATGTATGCCGGTGACAACTAAGCGACAGGTTCTCTGAGTGAAATTTTGTATGTATTTCTCTGTATCCTCATGCATGCTACATGCCCTACCTAGTTCATTTTCCCTTATTCACTAAAGGTAAAATTATCTCCAGGCTTAATTAATTAAACACCAAGCTGTGGAAGATGTATGAGGGAGTGAAGGTATGGCTCCACCATTCTTAACCTTGGCCAAGTGCAGGTGTTTGCATAGTTTCAGTGTTAGCAGTGCTAAAGGTGTGTGTTTTATTGCAGGTATTCTTATCTTCATTGGTTTGTTTATCATCTTTAGTCATGCTAATGCAGTGGTAAAGCGGGAGATTGCCAAACAGAGTCGGCGTAGGCTGTCATCTTTGTTACTGATTGTCTGCAATCTCTTAGGATGCATTCTGTTCATCTACTACATGTTCCAAGACCAGAAGCTCTATCTGAGGTACTTGTTTATCTCGTGTACTGCTGAGATGTAGGGCAAAGGTAGAGGCGGAGTGTTGTTCACTGTAATATGAGATTTAAAACTGCATAATTAGGAGCTTCATAACTTGTATGCTTCTCCAAGTATAATTACAATGATCAAGTCAAGGAGGAGATAGGCAGGGCATGTAACACGAATGGGGTGAAGGCTGCGCCATAGCTCAAGCGGTTAGTCGTTGGCTTCCCATTGCGGCGGCCCGGGTTCGATCCCGCGTCTAGTCAAGTAGGATTTGTGGTAGACAGTGTGGTGCTGTGGCAGGTTTTCTCCAATTACTTCAGTTTCCCCTGCTAATCTTCATTCCACCAATTGCTCCACAATCACCCTCACCCATCATCTGGGGCTGGTACAATAGGCCAGAAGTGGCCGCAGTACAAGGGACTTAGTCCCACCTCACTAGCAATAAAAGAAAATGGGGTGAGAGGAGGAATGCATATAGGATGCTGGTGGGAAAGCTGGAAGGAAGGAAACCACTGGGAAGACCAAGACATAGGTGGGTAGACAGTAATAAAATGGATCTTAAAGAGATAGAATGGGATGATGTGGATTGGATTGATCTGGCTCAGGGTAGGGACCAGCGGAGGGCTTTTGTGAACACAGTAATGAATTCAGTAAAATGCTAGGAATTTCTTGAGTAGCTGCAGAATTGGTGGCTTCTCAAGAAGAGCTCAGCTCCATGAGTGCCTGATGAGTATTTATAATAATTTTTTATATTTATGTATGGTTTATTTGATGTGTCTGTCAGTAGTGCAGAGTATATGATGTCAGATGGTAGGATAATGTTGAATATTGAATTAGAAAGATTGTGGAAGGAAATGGTGGTGACCTGGTTTCATGTAGTGTCCAAGAATTTGCCTGGAGGGACTGATGGAAATCTTGAGAAACCTCAGCAAGGATACTCAGTGTCGTTGCCAAGATGCAAAGTAAGCATGTGCTGAACACAAAACAGAAGTGCTACCCACTCCACTGCAATGATGTAAGGCAACTTTGTATTGGAAGAGGCTTGATCATAAAATAATTTGTACAAATATTTGTGTTTTTATAGTGTTGTGGTGTTAGAAAAAAAAATAGTGTATGTAGTGAGAGAGAGAGAGAGAATAACGATTCTGCTGAATTATAGCATTAAAAGATTTTGTTTTATATTACATACTTTATGTTGAATAAGTGCCTTAACCCATGTGACTGTTATGTGGAAAATTGAAGCCTACTGCTGTACATGAAACATTTCTATAACCACCATGAAACCCTAAAACACAGGTCTCCAGAATAACTTCATTGCCCTACACATGAAGGTGATACAACCATCAATATCTATTCGTACTTAATGAAATTTATGTGCGGAAGTGTAACTAACAGGAACTCAGTTGTCCTAGGAGAATGGATTGACTAATTCCTAGGTCGTTTAACAACAGTTTTGCTAAGAAAGTAACTCTTCTGACTTGTGTTTAGGAGGTGACCAGTTCAGATCTTATCTGGGACGCTGAGTATCCTAACAGTTTTAATTTTTTATGGTACATTTCCTCAGTCCTTTCATGTAAATGCTGGGATAGTACCTCAAATTAGGCCATGACCACTTCCTTTCACATCCTTTCAAATTCATTATTCATTAAATCATCATGTTATTTGACACTATAGTCTGGGACTCTGACAGCATCATTAAATAAACCACAAATGAAGAAAGAGACTCGGTTTTACTGATTGGTTATAAAGCTTCGAATGCAGTCATCTGTAAGTCATGAATAGTGTATCTGTATGGGTAAGGAGGGAGGCATTATGACTTACTAATCTGCTTTCCTATTTTGAAAAAAATAAAAATGGGCTTATGAGATCACTTTGCTGTCTTTGTGTCTACATGTTTGTGTGACTTCCCCTAAGAACTTTTGAAGAGATGGAAAATGCAACAGGTTGGTAAACATGTTCCTGCAGCAATGAATACACATACAACAAGAGAACAGTTAGATGTTACATTTTCCATGTCATGTCATGTGATAAGTATGTAGTAAAAGGAAAATGGACAATTAGTTCTTCCCAGAACTTCTTGTTTCAGTGTATGTCCCCATCACTCATCTTAAAATAAAGAAATAGTGTTAGTCAGATATCCAGCAACTGAGCGAAGATTTGAAGTGGGTATCTTCTGAACAGAAGTCTCGAGTCTTACTGCTATACCATCCTGCTGAGTGAGAAATACCAAGAAACCATCTTAATGCTAAATATGTGTTCAGAACACAATATGGTGTCTGTAAGTAAGAAGGGTAGAAGTATGGTGTGTGTGCTAGCAGACTATACATCTTTGCTACCATCCTATGATCCACAATGCAGTGCCCTCACCACCATTCCTGCTGTCATTATCACATGTTTTTTATAAGCACACTGAGTAGGCTTCTGTGTAGAATATTAATTTTTTTTTTTTTTACATAAGACCCTAATGATTCTTTGTTCACTTTTGCAGCCTGGTCTTCATTCCTCCGTACACACAGCCTCTCAGTGTTTGGGATTTACTGTGGATTGTGGGTGTGACAGACTTTGTACTCAAGTTAGTCACAATAATCCTAAAAGTTTCCATTGCAGCACTCCCTGTTTTTCTTCTACCCTACCAGAAAAGGGTAAGTTGGCTCACTGGGGAAACCTCCATCTCCCTATATTTTTAGTCCATAACATGTTTCTAGAGTAAAGACATAATTTTGTGGTTCACACTGTTTAATCCTTCAATTCAGACATTTAAATAGTGCAGTTAGCAATGTTTTACAGTAGTGTTTTTTGTACATTCGTTTAATTTTTGCACTGGAACGTGTAAACCATGGAGCCGAGATAGCATAGTCAGTATAATCATTGGCTTTAGGCTGGATGACCGAGGAATCAGAGTATGAGTCCCGGTAGGGTCAAGAATTTTCTCTTCTCCACATTGTCTAGACCAGCTCTGAGACCCACCCAGTCTCCTATCCAATGGGTATGGGGGCGCTCTTACCCCAGGCATAAAGTGGCTAGGGCGTGAAGCTGACCACTCACTTCCAGCTAGTGCTGAGGTCAAGAAAATGTGGCTCTGTACATCCACTCCCCAATATGCCTTCATGGCATAGTGCTTAATTAGTTAAGCAAAGGGACAATTTACCCTTTTTTTAGGTGTAAACCTTCATAATTAAATATAGGTGTGAGCTATTTTTATATTTTTGTCACACTGAG